ACGTTTCATTACCCGGCTAGGTAACATCCTCAGTGAAGCCGGGTAGTGAAACGTTTGCAAGAAAAGAACCAAGCTCAGAGAACCCCAAGGACTCCACAGTATTGTAACACATACACCTAGTCTAGCCAATCCAGGGGCTTTAAACAACCCAGATCTTAGGCTGTTATGTTTCCCTTTCATAGGCCACAGTCCTTACTATCATTATTATCAGTACAAAAATACATTATTTGATTCTTTTCTTTTCCTCTTTTCTATATAGAAAAATAAAAGTACACACAAGAGCATTAAAGAAATAAAATCAGTGCAACTAAAATCGATAGGTGGAGAAAGGATTGCAAATTATGGCTTAAATAGAACAACTCCAAAAACTTTGACCATATTGCTCAAAAGTCTTCTGCCTTGAATCTTTGCCGAAAAAAAGGTTAACATTCTAATGTTAACAAACAATACATATCAAGCCAAGAAGAACATAAGCAAATTTAACGTATAGCAATGAAAGGAAACCTAAACTTTACCTTTGCTTGCATATATCTCTGATAGAAGCAGCTTTGGCAATCACCTTTTCCCACTGAGTATCTTTACTAACAGATAATGAAGCCATATCAGACATTGCCATGAATCTCTGTAGTTCTGGATAAACTCGATCCTAAATATATTTTGATGGGAAAAGAGGAAATAGATTAGAAAGTGAACGTTTATTGGGATGATGTCCTACTGTTTTTTATTAAAATAATCTGTATTTCAAATATCAGGAGTTTTACAAATTCTTATCCTCTCCTACAATGCGTAGCTTGATACAATTTTATGTCTATTTGCAGATAATATATGAGGCACTGGCAATATGGTGTTAAAAGTGCCAGGAAAGTTTCTGCACAGACCAACAAGTGTATGTGTGTATGCGCATGCGTGTAAGTAACCTTCCAAGATCCCCAAACCATATCAGATCTTGGTAATCACACTAGAGCTCTCACAAGATTTCATGCAATGATCTCAGGGGATTTGCCAAAATTTGGGACAATTTTTTAAAATATAGGGAAAGGACACAGAGCATGGCTTCTGGAATTCTTTCCAAGTTCTCTACCAGCAGCTGTTATAGGAAGCATCTGAAGTTTCTTCCACAAAGAGTGAGAGCATGTGTTTGTGTGTACACTACACACACTTCTGCTCTCCTCTCATGTGTCTACATGTATTTATATGTACTTAGGCACTGTGAAGCACTGAGCAAACAAACTACTGTATACCCTGCTCTGGGTCATGTGACCAAGAAATAGTGGGGTTTAAAATGGAGGAGTAGGCAACATTCTGAGGTATTGCCCAATGTTCTTCCCATCGAAAGAGGAATCTTTTCTGGCAGTGTTTTCTCTACAGTGCCCAGCCAGATCCAGGGCATTTTAAAACTCAATCTTTCTTTTGCCAGCTTCTTCCCAGCACTAAATTTGATTTCACCCCAGCATAAATTTTGTTCAATTTTTGGAAAAACAGACAGACAGGATATTAAGCCCCTTTACATCACTTTTTTCCAACACTCCATGGGATTGGATGAAAAAATGGGGTGCATACCTGAAAAAATTACTGATTCCTGTACATGATATTTTGACTAACTTTCAGGTAAGTGTTTACAGCCCTCCAAAACTCCCAGCGTACATATTGATTACTTAAATAAAAAAACAAAGATATTTTCAAGAAAAGATTATTTTGCCATCTCTTAAAGTTTGTAACAGTAGACCTTGCTGCAGCAGTGAATGACAATTTTAAGCATTTTTTTTTCCAAACTAAAAATTACCAGTTTGCAAAGCTTTACCTGTTTCTCCCATAAACATGTCATCAGTCGTAATGTAACAGCTTGAAGTTTTGGCGTGTTTCCTAACACCTGCAGCACACGCAAAATCTGTGCAACACAGACCTAGAAGATATTTTTTTGTAAATGCAACTTCTCTTACATTCATTTATCATGTAAAATAAATCCAGAAAGATTAATTTTGTATCAAATCCAGACCCACTGACAAATGCTCTCCCTGTTTAAGATGACATAGAGAAAGCAATTTTTAATTTGACTGGTTACACAGTTTAGCATAACGAGTAGAGGAAGCTGGAAGCAGAGTTGTAAAAATTGGGTATAAACAGGATGGGGTGAAGTATGACTAACAATCCCACATTGGATTGATTTATAATCTATAATCTGTGCTTTGATTAGAGGATAAGAGAAGACATGGCGTTTACAGTTCAGGTCAATTAATATACTTGATATGGGACAAACTAATTCTTGGAAACTTTGTGTATAATATTTTTAGAAATCTATGTAAGTAAATCATTAAAAGGTCATTGTTCTGCTGAATATATACAACGGTGCATTCTTACTCATTTCTTAGTGACTTCAATGAACTAACTTCATCACAACACTGGAATTAGATTAAATTGCTCAGAGATGCAAACTGAAAATATGAATTGTTAAGTAAGATGTTACTTATTACTGAGTGTTATATCCAACCTTTCTTCCAGGAGTTCAAGGCGGTGTACATAACATACTTTCTTCCAATTTTTCCTAATTTGTAAAGTAAATTGTGCTGGGAGACAGAGACTGATTCTGTCACTTCCCAAATGGTTATGCTGAGACTGCACCTGAACTTCTATCTCCCTGGTCTTAGTTTATCACCTCAACTATTACACCACATTGGCTCTCAACAGAGAGCTATAATTAATTTCTACATTAAATAATAATTCTTCTCCATCCATATTTAGTATTTTAAATGACTGAGCATAAGGTTGTTCTTTGAGGTTGTATTCATTTTATATGTTTATTTGGTTTTACTTTTTATTATTAAAGATAAATGTTTAATCATAACTTAAGTTGAACCTTCCAAATTAATCAATAGCTGGATTGTCTGTATTTTGATAAATTACAAAGTGACAATCCTATTCCTACTTTCTTCTTCATCACTTCCTACCTGCCAACACTAGAATTCATCTCCCATTTAGCAGTTCCTGTATATAACTGTCACAAAACCCACTTATAAAGCACATTTCCTTCACCTTATCCCATGCCACTATAACAACATTTGGTACCTTTAGATGGTACCCACCTAAAGGGAGTCAGTCACAATGGACATTCCCATGTGATCATCTTGAGCCATGTAACTGCACTTTCCTAGGATTACTATGGCAGTATAGAAATACAGTAAAACCTTGGATTGCAAATAACTTGATCTGCGAGTGTTCTGCAAGACGAGCAAACATTTCTAATAAATTTTAACTTGATAAACAAGCAATGTCTTGCAATACGAGTAGAACGTGACGCCGGACGTCACATGATCACAACTGAGCCAATGGTTCTCTCTCTTGCTGCGGGATTGTGGGTGATCATCTCCCATGCTAGTGATAGTGAAAGTTGTCCTACAAAATAACCCTCCTCTCTTTTGTCTCCCTCACACCAGCCACAAAGGTTTTCAAAGATAAGTGCAGGTTAATTTGTTTTATTTTTCTTTATATTTTGTATT